GAGGGCGGCCGCCACGGCCACGGCTCACCGCCGATGCGACGGGCAATGGTTGCCCGGGAGGTTCGGCGCCTCCTCTTCTTCCTCCTCTTCCCGCTCTTCCTCACACTCCTCCGGCGCTGCTCGGCGTCAAGGCCGAGCCCGCGGCGGAGACGCCGCTCGGCCGGCACACTCGCACGCCGGCATCGTCATCAATGAGAGCGGCCGGCGCGCCTCCTCGTCGGCTCCTCCGCGCTTCGTCAAGCCCAAGACGGAGCCGGGGCTGGCACCGGTGAAGACGGAGCCGGGCCTCCCCGCGGTGAAGACGGAGCACGGCGGCGACGTCAAGCTCGACGATGACGCCGCCCTAGAATGGGCGCGCGTGGACTCCCTGAAGATGGCGAGGGAGCGCCAGTGCGCCGCCCTGCGGCGATTCGCGCAGCACCGCCGGGGCCGCGACGAAGAAGGAATCGTCGTCATCGAGGACAGCGACGACGACGACACGCCGCCGCCACCAGCCCGCTCACCCCCAGGGGGCGATTTTAGACGCCCCCTGGGGGGGCCAACGGCTGGAGATGCTCTCATGTACTGTCATCTCTACTTCTTTACTAAACAGCGGCAGCAAACATATGACATACAAGTGCTACGACCAAATGAATTATGCTCAAATCAGAGCTCATGCACCAGGGCTCAATGTATCAGCCTTTTTCACTTTCCATGGATACATCACAGCAGCTGGTAACTCAATTTTTCATACCAGGCATGCTAATTGAAGCACTACCTGCAAACAACAACTGTTTTGCTTAGCGCACTGCTAATAGCTAGGTGTATCAGGTCAATGCCATATCAAGAGAACAAACTTTTTTTTTTCGAGAATGTAAAAATGAACTTTGATATGTGGGATGCAGGGGGCTTGAGAATCACAAATCTGTAAGAACATCTAGCAAGATGCAATAATTAGTAGTTGATCACTATGATGTGCAAAATGCAGCAGCATCACTAATTGTTCTCCCGATGCATAAAGAGCTTACTGCCAACAACATACAACTGAAAATAATATGTTTGTAAAGACTACGGAGCAGAGCCAGACCTAGTCATGAACTTGCTAATCTCACCTCGCTGAATTAACAGTTGTGGTTGCAGGATCGGCGAACCGTTAGATCAATCAACACTTTTCATCCCTCTGAACTGAATCCTGATTGATTTTGCAAAGAACAACAACATGGGAATACGTGTAACTGCATGTAAACACGCAAATTCAACCCTGCTCTCTTTCTTTTGACTTCATGGCAATGTCAATTCTTCAGAGTGGGTGAATGAATGACTGAAGTGCTTTGACGCGAATTTGATAGAAGACCAGCGGCAAACTTCATGCCAGAGAGTTTGCTTAATGGAGAGACAGATCAACGAGGCCAAGGTCAACGACGTCATCTGCGGCCGTCGTTACACATTTGAGGCCTCAGCGACGAGCATTCTCTTCTGCTGAATCCACTAGTTGCATCCTTGTAGACTGCACATGCATTCAGTCCGCAGCCGTTTGACCCAACCATCATGTACAACCGTAAGTCTTGCAAACAAGCAAGATGCCAACTTGAAGAGCATTACCTAAGTTCATTAAAGAGCAAATCACGCATGCATATGCCACGACCATTCTCGACAGAGAAAAGACCATCGAAAGAAGGTGAAAAAATAGAGGCGACTCCTATGCTATTTTTCTCCCGAGAAGAACCCGGGCTGGCTTGACGACGTAACAGTAGCTGCCCAAGTAGATGTTCTCCTCGCCTCTTTGGCCGTCGTCCAGAGCAGAGCAGCAGAACTCTGAGAATATGATGTTCCTGGCTTCATGAGGTGGAGGCTGCATCATCATTCAATGTGCATATAATGGTGTGAACCAAGCAGAAGGATGAAGGCCTGCATTCCAGAGTCGATCATGATCACGGCAGTGACCAAAAAGCTTAATCATACAAGCAAGTAGCACTTCCTGTTGAAAAAGCTCAACCTGAATAAAAAAATACTAATCAGGAATCAGAACAAACTTAGTGTCGTCAAGGACTTATCAAGTGAATTTATTTACACTACAGCAGTGAAGAACTAGACACATAAAAGGCATAACAATGTACACAGGTGTGTAAACGTACACAGAAAGACGTAACAGCAAAGACCATTAACGTTCAGGGTACTATCTGAATGCTCTGTTGCTTATTCGGAGTAAAACAAAGTACCCAATAAGACAAAATTTCTAAGAAATGGTAGTTAGAAGACTCGCATGCAGCGAAATATTGTGTGCGAGCTGCCGTACACTCAGAAGTGTTGATTTCTTTAAAAGTGTTGTTGAACTGCACACACCAGCGAGTTCACCCTAAAGCTCAAGATAATGAGGAAAGATGGGCTTTGCATTTATTTATACACAACAATCCACCTCACGTGTGACTCCCTCAAGTCTAAACGTGTACTGAAAGTGGGCTGCAATATTTTCTATTTGGAATTACGCCAGCCAGGTCTTAAACCAAAAACTGAAGCTCATGAGCAAAGATGGACTATGCATTTATACTTCAACAGGTTTCATAGTCTTAAAAGTTTCAGTTCCTGATAGGCAGTAGTCGACCTCTGCAATCACTCTATTGTTGGAAAGGTACAAAATGAAACCTTGACTTCTCTTCCAGGTGAATGCCAAATATGTTGGCTTTCCTTTTCGTGAATATGCAAACGCCTTGCCTAGCATTGCATTGATAGAAGAAAATAGAGTTTGACGAGTACAAATATACAAGGGTGAGAGTTACAGGAGTTGGCTTCGACGCAATGTTGTCAGCTCGTCACGGACAGATGAAGAAAACCAGTTGCAGAACTCGAGCGCCCCGCTCGGCAAGCTCGTGATGGAGCGACACCAAGCAAGGACCTCATGCCATACCTGGCGAGAGAAGGAACAACCGGCCAGGAAGTGTTGCATTCTTTCAGGCTGTTGGTTGCACAGAATTTATAGTGGAGCATGAGTGACTCTTCGCGTCGCGAGTCGATCGGCGGTCCAAATATAATGACCTTCGGTTGTCATAAAAGACCACTACACGATAATACCGCCATCTCCACCGCTATGCTCTGCTCTTCTCTGAATTTCATTCCTAACAGCTGTTGTAAGCGAATCCAAATGAATGAATCAGGCCCAGCCCGAACACCTTTCAGGCATAAACAGTCTGCCTTATAGCCAAAATGCACAAAAGAAACCCCTAGGTACATGTCTCTACCGTGAAAATATATTATAGAGCAGGTGCGCCCCGGCCCGCTTATCTGGTGTGTACATACACCTCGCGATATGTGCCAGCCGCCCAGCCGCTACCGTAAGACCAGGCTAGCAGGCCCTTCGTCCGTGATCTGCCTAGTACATAGAGTAGGGTACTGTTCAGCTAGAAACAGCTATGGGACACGGCCCGTGACTCTGGTCAATATGCGCCCCCCCTTGTACCTCTAGGAGCAGGCTAGCCTGAGTAGGGAGGACTGGAGGAGGGGAATCAGCCGCTGTACGGGTCTGCGGCCGAAGAACAGGACGCGCACCACCGCGTGTAATCTCCGGCGCCGGCGGGAGGCAGATAGCAAGAACCGAGTTCAGGTCCATCCGATGTAGCTTAATAGATGGTGTTTGTCTGACCAAGTCACGGGCTTGCGTCCATATGCTTGGTGGGCATAAGCGAACAAAAGTGGACAGCCTAGGCTACCTGTGCGTGTAGAGCGCCAGCGCCCCGTAAGAACGCATCTGCCACGGTAATCAATCTGGATAACCGGTTCTATCCGATGCGGATCTCGAGGTTCAGTAGCTTGTGCCAACGCACAGGATAACACGGCCGGGGTGCAGATGTTCTAAAAATCCGCGTCCGTCTCTACTGTACCTTTGTCACACCCTTCTTCCTTGTATCCAAAACAATTGGCGCTCCTCGTGTCGCTCTTCCCGAGCGACTCGTGTGGCGACCAGCCTAGTCTCCGCCAGCCTTCCCTTCCTCCCCTGTCCTCCTCACAGCCTCTAGAGAGATCCGGATGGCAGGGCTCTCAAAGACGGAAGTGCCGGGGTTACGTCCGGCATGGCTCTTCTCGGCTCCGCGGCTCTTGATCTAGATCTGGTCGCTTTGTCTCCTTCCTCTACTTGGTGGGCTTCTCCGTAGGGATAAGGGTCGCGAGATTTGGTTGTGCTCGATGCGGATGCAGCTGTAGGCTGGGATTCAGTTAGGAATAAATCCCTAGCCGGCACTAGTCTACCGTGACGGCGGAGACGCCCGAGGGCGCCGCTTTTTATGCATGGAGACATTCGTTAGATCCACCTCTACCTCGACCATGTCATGTATATTCTGGGTGAAAGCTCTAATTGTGATGGGCAGCGACGGTGCCTTTAGCGTCATTCCTTTCTTGAAGGAACCACCTTGGGAGATAGCTAGCTGGTGGACACCGTTGGGTTACCGTTGGCGGCGATCTGGATCAGGAGATGGTGCGGTGTGGCATCTACCGCCTCGGCGACAGTGGGTCTCGACAGCGTGGCACAGCACGGTCTCGGCGTGGACATGTGTTGATGTACATGCACGGGGTGGTGGCACTGTTTGGCGTCATGGTGCGTCCACGGGAGCTGGCAAGGTCAATGTGCGGATCCCTCCTGAAGTTGAGGTGGTGATGGGCGCTGCGAATTCTGGAGCGTGCGCATGCAGTGCGCGCTAAGGGCCTGCTAGACCAGTTGGTGATCTCGGTTCGCTGTGGGGTGGCATATGAGGCCACCGGGTAAGTATGTGTTGGTTGGTGTGGTCAACGCACATCATCAAGCTAGTAGGTATAGCGATGTAGGGCCCAATGGGTTGGTCTATGTATTTGTTCTTATCAGACTCTCTGTTGAATAATTTAATAAAAGAGGTTGTGTGCCTTGCTCGCTGTAGATGCCGGGGTTACCCTTCTTTATGGAAAAAATAAGAAAAAAACTGGAAAATGTTGGAAGATGATATATGGGCCCAATGACCCTGATGAGTACAATGTTTTGTGGACGTTCTATTCTTGCACTAGCTGCAGAAATATATAGAGGGCATACACATACATTCTGATTGGTCCTCGAAATGCAGGACAGGTTCGTTCGCATGATCGGCAAGTTTCTGCTCCAGGTCTTGTTTGATTGCTTCATTGTAGGAACCTGTAAGCCACACTTCCTTGAGTCTGCATAGATTCTCTAGCCCAGAAAGCTCCAAAGAAGACTCAGTTGTAGAGCAGTGAACCACCAGCGACTCAACAGTACGCGTTATCCACTGTCCAAAAGCTATCTCTGATCTGTAGCTACCGCAATTGATCTTGAGGACAGTGGCATCTCCGAAGCCTCCACCAATCCAGTCCTCCTCCCTCCAACCATAATGGAGATTTCCATCTTCAATTGGCTTGACGCAAAGATGACGATACTTATCCTTGCATCGCAAATCCTTAAGGCTGTCTATGTCCACTTGCTCTGATATTGTCAGCTCAAGATCTTCGACATCAACCTTTTTGAGACCATCAAGTTGCTTCATCCAAACTGGTGATACGTGTACATTGCCCCTGTATAGCTTGAGGCTCTTTAGTGTCTTTGGTGGCTTGGAGATGTCATCCAAATTACACAGATGATCCTGCTGCTCATCATGGTCGAGTCGAACTGATAAGGATTCGAGATAGCCGTGACCAGAGATGGTGTAACAAAAATCCTGCCAGTTTTTTCGGTTGATACCAGACAATTTTAGCTTGCGTAACTGGGTAATCTTCTTGAGCTCTCTGAGGACAACCTTCCCACCTACATTGCTGACATTCACAACACCAAGAGTATGTAAGGCCGTCAACTTCCCAATCCCCCATGCTGCAGCAACAGGAAACTGAACACCATCATGAGCGCTGCTAACATGTCCGTGTCTGTTCAACTTTGACAACCAGCTAAACACCAAGCCACCACGTGGCCCGCTTCTCCGCGCTGCTGACGTCCGGGCCTCGTCAACATCTGCAGCTGCTGTTGGTGTTGGTTGGCTTGTGCTCACACCAGCACCGTCACCATCTCCATCGACTGCTGGTGGTGTTGCTGCTGCTGCTGGTCGTTGGCTTGTGCTCGCAACATCACTATCCAGTGGTGGTCCAGCACGGACGTACTGTAGCTTCTTAAGCTTGATGATAGTAGCTGACAGCGTGACTATACGTGTGCCTTTGATATCTAGAGTCTGGAGTTGCCTCAAGCCACCCAATGATGCCGGCAAACGGGTAATATATTGACATCCTCGTAGGGAGAGGAACTTGAGGTGTGGCAGTAGATTCCCTATCTGTTCAATGTCACCATTTGTTACACCTGATGTGTCCTCCAAATCGAGCACCCGAAGATATTTCATTTTGACATCAGGAGAGATGAAGAATGACCTCCAGTCCCCAAACACTGTCAATGACCGTAGCCGTGACAATTCCATGCTCTCAAACAGAATCTTGTCTCTATCCCAGCATCTGCTTATGGTGAGGTGTTGTCCAGCACGTTGCGTGTTCGGGATGCAACGCCCCTCTAGTGCAAACACAAGGTTATCTTGCATTGGCCGTGAAAAAATATATTCACGGAAGAAACCATTAACTTGGCACAGGTCCTCCATGCTTGGTGAATGCTTCTGTTGGATTATGCTCAACTTGACAAGCTCGGAGATAAAATTTTCTCCGTTCTCTTCCGCTGTACTACCAAGTGTGTCCCTGGAGTAACCCTCAGCAATCCACCTCCTTAGCAAACGACTTTTCCTAATATCATAGCCTAAAGGGAAGACTGAGAGATAGAAGATACATGGCTTGAGTGAATCGGGGCAAGCAACAAAGTAGGACTGCATCCAATCAAATAGACCCCTTAAATTGTGGAATTTTGGATCGGTCTCCAACATGCCCATGAAGTCGGCAGCATTGACAGTCTCCAAACCACATTTTCTTATGTGCTGGTACTCACGGCAGTACTCTCCTATAGCAGTTAGTACTTGGGGTAGCCCTCCACACTTCGTGATGAGGTTTGAAAGCTGTTGCGTGGAAATCGATTCCTTCCAATTAGCTATCTACAATCAATAAATAATTAAGTTACTTCCCCATAAGAAAAAGAAGTTAAATTCTGAAATGTGAAAAAAATTCAAATTTGTAACCATACACATAAACTTAAGTATTATAAGTACTTTTCAATTTAAGTTGTATTTTTCACCAAAACCACATTTGATCTTTAGCTGTCAGACGTGTGATACACATATGAAGTCAATTTCGAGCAAATAATTTCAAATATGAAAAGTATATGATGGAAAACTCTGAATTGAAATCACATTCAGAAATGGAACTCAAACTGTATCGAGAATGTATGAAATGTGAGAAGTTAACAAATTAAAAGTACACTCAAATTTGGACCACATGGCACGTGTGGTCACCTTTTCCATGTTGATGATGAGCATATGAATGATGTAGATCTTCCCCATCAAAAAAGTACACTCAAATGTGCACTGCAAATTCAACTATGCATATATCAAGTTGTAGTTCAAGCACATTACAATTCCTTTAGTTCTCTAAAACTTTTTTTTACATCAGCAGAGTTATTGAACACAAGCTTGATAGCTAGTTTCAAATGTATTTTAAAATTTTCTACATTTGGGATTTAGTGTTTTTATTTGGGAGCACGTGCTATCGATCAAGTGCACCTTTCGGTGTTTAAATACTAATACAAATATTATACTACATAACTACCCGTGCGTTGCAATGGGGGTGCAAATATTTTGTATCTTATAGTCATGCTTTATCTCCTATTTTATTATTAATGTGGTTATGTGACAAAAATAGATTTTAACTTGCTATTGGATCGATATTTACTGACCTACCAAAGAAACATTATCTTATTTGGTAAGATGTTAAGATATTGGATAGCTGAGGTGGTTTTCAATGAAAACCTGTTGGAAAAAACAACAAAACCAAGGCGGAGGTGGCGAGAGAGCATATGTAGAGGTGGGATTTGTGGTCGGATGGTGTAAGATGGAACACTATGCTTTTTCATGTAGGAGAGTTATTAATTTGTTTTCGAGAACAATGTGTAGATACAATTTTTACAAGTATGCCATCAAAATATTTTGAAAGATACTAGTAGAAAGTTTTTCAAAAAATTGACTTTATATATGTCCCAAACAACCATTTGGCTTGCTCTATTTGGAGATAATATGAATACACGTGGAGTTCTTCCATGTTGAACCCAAAGTTTGATGCAATATGAATTTTATTGGGGGCAGTTCTGCGTAAGTTTTTTTATGCCACTGCCTCTGCTGGCTGCAGGTGCCCCTGGTAGTGCCTCCCTTTGCCCCGCTGTCATACTGGACCCGCCGCTGCATGCGTCCCCCCTGATCAGGATCTGGATTCGACCCATTGCGGTCTTTAGATTCCTACGAAGCGTCATCTGGTGGCTATGTCCTGGAAACCCAACAAGAGCTGCTGCGCAGGCTCGCATCGGGTGCATCTCTGCTCGGGATTGTGTGTGCATCGCATGCCGTGTCCATTAAAGGCGAGGCTAGCATTAACTCTAAAGTTGCTAGATGGTTGGACTCCTCTCGTCCAGTTGCCCCCGAGCCTTCTATTCCGACAAGAAGGGCGGACGCGGGACGTAAGCAGGATGTGACCGACGACTGGTAGGTCGTCATGCCGCGCAACAGCCCCCGCTGCATTGCTTTTCCCAGCTCCTGCATTGAAGCCCTATCCCATCCCAAGCTGGATTAAAGGCAGGTGTTGCCACTGCCTTGCTTGCTCCAGAACATAGAGCGAACACGTGTCGTGACCACATAAGGTGCACTCGCTGTCTTGAGAGCGGCCACATCATCCATGATTTGTCGGAACAAGTGGTGGCCACTGAGGTACCTGCTCAGCCCCATCCCAGTGCCGCCGCTACCTCACCATGTTGCTGCTTCACCTCAAGACATAGAGCCTCGTCTTTGGTCCTATTTGTGGGTCGCCACTCCAACCACCGCCAACAGATGCAGCCTTGTGATGCTGAGGCTTGGAGACGCCACCTCCTGGCGTATGGAAGACTTTGTCATCGTCTCGGCCCCCCAGAGATGCAGCTAGAGTCCGCAATCCTTCCCACCAACCCATACGATGGCCACCACGTTTGCCACCACCTTTAGCCCGCACCTAGCCGACGTACCCGTTATTCACCACAACCTGGGGCCATTCTTTAATAGGTTCATCCATCCACACCACCGCACCGATGTCGTCACCAACGGGGACATCCCTTGGGGCAACTTCCACATCCATATGCGCGCTTGGAGGCTTGAAGACAATGCCGACAACGAATATATGATGCATCATGTGCCCGTCTCCAACGAAGAGATCTAGTTGCACGGCTGGAATGGCTACATCGCCATGTTTGTGGACGTCCGCGACTGCTCTTTGGTTTATATCAAGACGCGCTTTCTATGCAAAGACAACACGAATGCCATGGCTCTATGGGCATGGACGACCAACTAAAACATCATCCTGAAGCTCAAGTCGCTCATGCTGCCCGCTCGTGGCAAATGTCGCTGTGGCCAATATGGTCTCCATCACCGTGTGCTGATCCATCTGGACTTGCACCAGGATTTCTCCAACATCTATGATGGCGAAGTCAACCAGCCCTTGCCCGACATCCACAAGTTCACGTGGTTCCATGGTTTGGTTGATGGCACGGCTAGGCCACGGGCAGGCGCAGTGGCAACAATAGGGACGTGGGGCATCGCGATCTCTGTGATGATGATGACGACCGTGGCGGCCGCTATAGCTAGTAGGATGGCTGAGCTCGGGAGGGTTGGTGCGACAGGTTTCGATAACCCCTCTCTCAAAACCCACGGAAAAGGCGGCGTAAGGAAGGGCAGGATGACCGCACATGTGTCCGCTCTTGTGAACGCCGACATGCTGATGTGCAACCTCATGTGCCCGCTCCTCTATCGATCATCGCTCAAGACACTGACCACGACCCAGTGGGCATAGCCCTGTTTGACTGTTGTCCCCTCGCGTGGGACATCGTCGCTCCCGTGAGAACCAATTGTCACCCGACTTGCTTACCTAGGTTCTTCCTACTACCGTGGGCACCAAGCGTGACGTGTCTACCTCATCTCCAACAACAAGCTCGGCTCTAAGGGTAGCTATCGACATTTGTTCTACAGCCGGCCTTGTCTCCCCCTACCAACAATGTGCCAAGTTGTCCCGCCTAACTTCGAGGGCTCGTCGCCCGTTGAGGCGGCATTCCTCATCTATGACCAGTGTAGCGCCAATGTCATCCCATTTGCTAAACATCCACACACGAATGTGTTGTCCTTCCACCACCCACAATGTCACCAACCGCCGGCCTCTGACGGCATGCTGAAAAACCATGGCCAGTTTTGTCATCTCCAACAGAGGTGGTGGCATCTCCATCTGACGCACCAGCGTGCGTCTTCAGGCAGGTGGGCGCCCTAAGGCCATGTCAGTGTCCAAGTCAGCGACTGTTTTTTTCTGCCACTTGGGGACCATACAAGATGGAGAATATGTGATGGTCTAGGTGTTTGACGCTTTTGCAAAACAGTTCAAGTCTCATTTCCCTACGGAGGATGCTTGCAGCGATGCACACCATCTTTAAGGTTTTTTTTGAGGGGACACCATCTTCAATGTTAATGATGTCCGTGTGATGGTTGTGGAGGACGCGTTCATTGCTCATGGTGGTGGTGACGCGCTAGACCACTAGATGGTCATCCGAGTAGGCATGGACATGCTGCTGAGCGCCACTTGATGCACGGTCACTTGAGATCCCAATTTAGCTATGTTTGCATGGTCACTTTAGTTTGGTTGGGAGCATCGCACCTAGTATGTTTTATGCTCCATCTGTGCCTCACTGGAGATTGTGTCAGGGTAGTCTCTATGGAGTTTGTGCAATTTGTGATGTTGGCCCTGCATATCTGCACAAGTTATGTCAACCCATTATGTTATCATCTTAGACCATTCCTTCAATGTCCTGTGTTGGAATGGGAGGGGCTAAATTTCACTAACTAGTGAAACATTATGAGCGACATGATTGCGGCTTCGTCATGTCTTGTGGTCTACCTACCGGAGACAAAATTGCAACATGTGAACAATTTTTCTATTGCTTGCCTTTGGGGATGCGATAGATTGTGAAGCTTCATAGAGAGGGCGGCCAAAGGAACCGTAGGATGGATTCTCATGTTATGGGATGACCTCCTTGTGGAGGTCTATGACATATCCATCTCCACTTACTGCCTCTCTGCCAATATCCACATTCAGAAGTCCGATGTGCAATATAAGAACACAACTACGCACAGGCCAACAACTTCCTCTTGCAAGGATGCGTTCTTTGCCGAGCTCATTGGCCATAAAATGCCAAGTGGTGTGATGTGGCTTGCCTCTGGTGACTTCAAACCTAATATATTGTGCCCGTGACAAGAACAAAAGAAATGTCTACAGAACTCGCAACAATTTGTTTCAAAACACGCAATACACTTGTGAGTTGAAAGAGATCCACCTCCAGAATAGGTGCTTTAAATGGGGCAACTAGAGGGTAAACCTCGCCATGATCATGCTCGATTCCTTCTTCTACAATGCTGAATGAGATTTACAATTCAACACCAAAATTCTTCACGCCCTCTCCTCTTCACTCTCCGATCACTACCCACTTTTGCTTGCCGACGAGAGGGTCCAGAGAAGACCACGTGCATTAAAGTTTGAGAATTTATGGACCTCCTTGTCGGGGTTCTCTTAGGTGGTGCACCAAGCATGGAACGAGCACATTGATCATCTGGAACCTTACCAGGTGTTACACCACAAGCTCAAGAAGGCGGGCCTTCATCTTGCCTAGTGGATTATGGGCCCTTTCTCCAAGGCAAAGATCCACTTCCATGCTGCCCTCATCATTCTTCACCTCGACATGGCTTAGGAGGATCGGTCGCTCTCCATTGAGGACCTTGACCTTGATGCTTGGCTCCAGAGATGAGTCATTAGCCTTGTGGTTGTAGCTTAGGCTAGTAATAACTACGTGCAATAATGTCTAACCTTAGAAGAAGAAAGAAACCACATACACTGCATCAAGCACAACCATGGGTGGATTAGTATGTGCAAAAAGAAGCCTTAATTCTTGAACACTTCTTCGACGTCATGGAAAAGGGGAATCCGAGGTCTATGGATTTTAATTGCGAGGAGCTTCACCTCTCGGCTTATTATTTAGGTGTATTGGATGATCCAATCACCGAGGAGGAAGCATGTAAAGCCATCAACGACATGCCAAGTGACAAGATGCCTGGCCTCGATGGCTTCACTAAAGCCTTTTTCAAGAGGTGTTGGGGCATAATCAAAGCTGACATATGCATGTCATTCGCCTATTTGAGAATCTCTATGGTTCCAACTTGCATTGGCTCAGTTCAGCGAATGTCATGCTACTTCCCAAAAATTAATGCTATCGTAAAATTCATTGCCAGGATCCTCGCGAACCTACTCTGCCAACACATGTGTGCCCTTCTCTCCAACGCCCAAAGTCCATTCATCAAGAGAGGAGTATTGATAATAACTTCGTGTATGTCCGGAACCTCATTCATCGGCTTCACAAGAGCATGACCCCATCCCTTCTCTTCATGTTCGAGCAAGTTTTGAAATTGGATCACCAACTTGCGTTGCACCTTGTGTATCCTCCTAAACGGTGTGACCAGCCATCCAATCAAGCATGGTAGGGGCCTCAGGCAATGTACTTCCTCTCGCCCCTTATATTCGTCATTCAATAGATAACCTTCAACATCTTCTTGACTTGCAACTAGAAGGGGCCTTCTCCGCCAGATTCGAAGCGGTGGTACCTTGATGTGAACCTCCTTATATGCAGACAACGCGGCGGTTTTTATGGCGTCCATCAAACGCGATATTGACAGCCACTATTTTATCCTACAATGTTTCGGTGATACCACGGGCCTCGCTACCAACTTTTAAAAGCGCTCGGTCATCCCAACTCGATGTGGCCACTTCAACCTTGGGAAAATCCTTGAAAATCTTTTCGCCACAAGAACCTCTTTCCCAAAGAGATACTTGGGGCTTCCCCTCCTAGTTTGACAACTAAAGAAGGTTGAATTTTAGTTACTTCAAGACAAAGTGGTATTCAAACAGATTCCTTGGGATGGGAGGAACATCACCACAATTTGACGTTCACGTTGGTGAAGTCAGTGCTCTTCTCTCAAGTGTTCTACTACATCACCCCCTCATCGCCCACCCGGAGCACCCTCCAAAGTAATAACAAGCTCTAGCATGCCGTCCTTTGGTCCGATTCAGACAAGACAATTGGGACGAAATGCAAAATGAATTGGGACTTGGCATGTTAGCCTTTTTAAAGAGGGGACGAGGAGTGTAAACGCCGCAAATTTCACAAGCGCCCTAAGATTGAGATTGGCTTGGTTTCACTGGAAAGAATCAACCAAGATGTTGGTTGGAATGGGGACCCCCTGATGCAGATGACCTTGATCTCTTGTACACCTCCACCATCATTACCACCGGAAGTGGTGCTAGGACACCTATTTGGAATGCACCATGAGTGCATGATGGGAAGTCCAAAGAGATTGCCCCTCTCATCTACGAGGCGTCAACGAGGAAAAACTATAAAGTGCGGGAGGCTATCCACGGATATGCTTGGGTATCCTAAATTAAGAGTGGGGCCAACTTCTCAATGTATCACATCGGACAATTTATTGATATTTGGACACTCCTACGTGACTTCCATCTTGATGAGCATGCGGAGGATGACATAGTTTGGAAGCATAGAGACAGTGAGATAGTCTCAGCAGCTTTCACATATTTGGCACAATTCATGGGGACTTTCAACTCGCCGACACAGAACACGGTTTGGAAGGCTCGGGCCGCAACCAATGTCATGTTTTTTCTTGGCTGGCAATACAAAATAGGATTTGGACCGTTGATCTGTTAGCCAAGTGAGATTGGACAAATTGTGGTCTTTGCCCCCTTTGCAAACGAGAACATGAATCCGCGATGCACCTCTTCTTCAAGTGCCTCTTCACCATCCGCCTTTGGAACTTGTGAAATAAGTGGATACAGCTTGAGAACATTGACACATCATGCTGGCACTCCAAGCTATCTCTTAGAGGATGGTGGAGCAACCTATCGGACAAATGTGTCCTGAATAAAAAAAAAGCTACGGCATCTCTCAGCATGCTTAGTACCCGGACCTTTTGGAATGAAAGAAATGCACACATCTTCCGATACAAGAGCGTTCTGCCTCCAATCCTTCTAAATTCAATCAAATTGGAGGCTAATGTTTGGGTTACTGCAGGTCCAAAGAAGTTGTGGTTTAAGATACTAGGAGAATGAACCTTTTATATATTATGGGTTGTTGAGCCCTGTAAAACAAACTCTATTATCTTCTTAATTAATGTATGAGGCAAATCTGTTGTCTCCATTTCAAAAAAAAAATCCTCATTCTATAGGTAAAATGTTTGACTTTGTGGGCCCCGACCCACTCAACCCAGTTAAAAGTCTGAAATCTCAAAGGCCCCATTTAAATTGTATGACAAATGTGTAAGTTTAGTACCATACTTCTGGTGAGGAAGATTAGCACCAATATATAAGCTAAGCAATTCTACTACTCTTTGTTGCATGGGAAAAGAGAGCAATAACACGCGCAGTCATTCACTCACTCATGTGGCGTCAATTGTTTTTGGCTAACGTTATGCCCTTGTTGGAAGTACTAAATTTTTACTCCGTCTGGGTTCCTTGGGTTGAGCTGCTTTTGTGGCGACCCCATCCCAGTGATACATGCACAACCGTTCAGGAGAGCTGGCCTTCGAAACAGAGCCCCCTGAGAACCTGCACCGGGTAAGGGGCGATTAGATTTTTGGGAAGATTCTTGGTGGGAAAGCTCACTTCTGAATGACTTGATAACTGTCCATCCGCTTTTACGACTTCCCATACGGTGGGCGACCACCTTGTCTTCACCACCATGGCTGAGAACGCTGTTGCAATGGAGTTTCTGGTGAACTCGCATGTTCTGAAACTCTCTCTGTTGACATGTGCCTATGGTCCATATGAGTATATGCTAGATGTTTCTAGTCTAGGTGATTTCCCATGTCAATAATCTTGTGATGATGCTAATCTGGACTAAGTTTGACCGGATACTACCTATTATCCTAACAAAAAATTGGCCCACCTTTGTCAATAATTACAAAGTGAATTGGGTATCGTTATTCATATCATGTATTTATAAATAGATAATCTTTGTGATGTCACGCGTACAGATTATCAGCTTGAAATAGACCTCAAACGAATGTTTTAAATAGCCGGCTATAGCTCCGCTATAGCCCGCTATATAGCCTTTTCAGCAAGGTGCCGCTAAATGATCCTATGTACAAATAGCCCGCTATAGCCTGCTATAGGCCACTATAGCTGATTTTGAGGTCCGCCGCTATTTGGCAATAGCCCGCTATTTAAAACATTGCCTCAAACATGACAGCACAAATAATGCTAAATGCTTGATCCATTAATTTAACATATGAATTAACTTACATTTATAATTTTTGTATTTATTATAGATTAAGATAGGCATATTAGGTTTTCATCTGTTTAGATTGACGTGCGTGCACACATAGACATGCAGAAAGGAAACTAGAGCATTTCAGTTAAAAAAATGCTTCAGAAAAACACAATACCTCTTTTCCTGCCATTGGGTAACACATTGCCTTTGAGAAGACATCGAGCGCCCAATCAGCGCTTAGACCTTTAACATTGACCACATCTTTTTCAGTATCTACAACACAATGTCTGGCGATGCTTTCTTCATTTGTAACAACAAGTATATATCCTTTTAATGGCTCGGATAACAAGGCATCTTTTATCAAGTCCCAGTCATCATTGGAGCGCAGACCATCAATGACAACGAGGCATTTGTGCTGATGAAGAAACTCATGACACACTTGAATTGGGTCCTGGCCTTGCATCATACCAACTGCTGCAATTTCCTTTGCTTCAAGATCATCTGAATGAAAGTCCAAAATTAAGAGGCTACACAAGTCTGTCAGATTGAACGGATAGGGCACATCCACCCAGGCATACTTTGTGACTATGGAATCTAGTCGTAAGAAGTCAATACGTTCTGCTCGGCTGAGACCACGGTAGCTACCAGTCATACTGGTGTGGTAGAATCTTCTGACTAGATATGATTTCCCAATCCCTGCGATCCCCCACACTGAGATCACACCCTGCCTTTTATCTAAAAGTTTAATCCATAAAATATTTTGATGATGCCCAATAAGTCTAAATTTCTTGATCCAGTCACATGCCTCTATCATTCTACTAGAAAAGGCGCGACTCATGTCCTGGTCTGAGTACCCTGGCTTCTGCAAGCAAGAAACATGCATGCATATAACTGTAATTAGCACAACTCAATTCATGC